ACTGACTCCAGGTGTGGGATCTGCAGAAAACAAATGCCCAGATTGGATGGGCTAAAATACCGGATGCCCAGACCAAGGAAAAGATCCAAGTCAGGCCGTGAAAGGGCAGGTGGCCTCCTTTCGCTCCTGGCTACGTGGTACAGCAGGCAAATTGCCGGTTCTAGAGGTGGAGCCGTTATGGGTCTCCTGCGCCCTGGCCTTTCTTGGGGGCCGGCAGAGGGAAAGACTTCCACACGGCTCTCTCGGCGTCTGTGGCTTCGGGGAATCTAATCTACACTATCCAAGCGACCAGAGGCGTCTCGGCTGCTGTCAAACCGTCCCTCTGCCGCCTGGACTTGAAGATAAAAAACACTCCTGCTGGGATGTCACAGGTTGTCCTGGTGCTTGGAAGAGTTGTTGTTCTCTCTTGGAATCCTCCTCCTCATGGGAGACATGTTTGTCCTTTTCCACCTGCAGAGCTTGGATCAGTCGGTCCCACATTTCTGTAAAGCCCAGGTCAAGCCTTTGAGTGCAGAGAGCCTCCCCGGAGGAATTTCTCCAGGAGATCGACACTCAGTTCCCCAAGGGCCTCACCTGGTATCCCAGGACTTGCCAACAGGAGAGTTGAGGGCCCGTTTGAGCCTTGAGCAAGGTCTTCTTGGATGGCACCACTCCAGGGCTTCAGAAGCAGTTTTGGTTCTTCTCATCCACCCCAAAACACCTCAAAAATGCTGCCACCCCAAAAGCGGATGCATCAAGAGCTCACGTACGACATGCCAAACTTGGTCTGAACAAAGGACCCATCTCTCCTGCAGGAAACCCATGTAGCACTGCCTTATCCTTTGGCTGTAGGGAGCTGAAGGCAGGTGGACCAACACTCTTCTGACAAATGAATGCCTGACTTCATGCCAGGGAGAAGTTGGGAAGAACAGAAGAAGAGCTGCTGTGAAACTGGATCAGGCTAAATGCTCCTCCAGCTGGACCCATCAGATCCAAAGACACCGAATCTTCATTAGTAAAATGGTAAAATATGAGTTAGAAGGTACAGCTGTGAGATGGATTCATAAGCATATCCTAAATGAATCCAGACCAAAGCAAAGCAAATCAATCTGACTGCACATCAGCCTAGAGGAAAGGATTGAGTGGAATCCACAGGGCTCCGTCCAGGGCTTTTGGCTGTCCAACACTTTTTTTAAGGACTTGGATGTTACTGAGGGGACACTTTCTAAGTTTGCAGATGACACAAAATTAGGAGGAACAGCTAAAAGAGACAGAGAAGATTCAAAAATATTGAGACAGGCTTGAAGTGTGGTCTGAAACAAACAGAAGAAATGTGAAGTCCTACATCTAGGGAGAAAAAAATGCAGAGCACAAGTCTAGGATGGGGAGACTTGACTTGGCAGCGGTACGTGGGAAAAGGATCTGGGTGTCCTGATTAACCATAAGCTGAAGCTCAGCCAGCACTGGGATGCAGCTGCTAAAAAAGCCAATGCTATTTTTGGATGTATCAACAAGAGCATAAAGTCCACATCGTGAGAAGTAATTGTCCTTCTCTACTTTGGCCTAGTTGGACCCTGTTTGGAGGATATGCCCGGTTCTGGGCACCACAGTCCAAAAAGGACATCAACCAATGGCAGGAAGTTCACAGGAGGGTATCAAGATGGTGAAGGGCCTGGAAACCAAGGCCTGTGAGGAACAGCTAAGTGATCTGGGGATGTACTGTCGAAGGTTTTCACGGCCGGAATACGATGGCTGATGTGGGTCTTCCGGGCTGTGTGGCCGTGTTCTGGAAGTTTTGGTTCCTAACGTTTCGCCAGCATCCGTGACCAGCATCTTCAGTGCTCCTGTCCTCTGAAGATGTTTAGCCTACAAAAGAGAAGATGGAAGGATATCAGGCTTCCAATATGTAGAGGATTGCCATATAGAGGAGGGAGTGGACTTATTCTCTAATTGTTATGGAGGGCAGAACCAAGACCAGGACCAGAATCAGAGGGTTGAGAGGACAAGGAAGTAGATTCTGGTTAGATCTTAGGAAGAATGCTGTGATGGTACCAGTGGCCAATGGGCAGAATAGGTTGCCTCATGAAGGGGTCTGTTGCTCTTCACTGGAAGCCTTCAAAGAGAGCTGAAGTGCTCTAGTGGACTCTGCTCTGAGCAGGGTTTGGGCTAGAAGACCTCTGAGGTCCCTTCCAACAGGATGATTCTCAGATTCTGTTACTCTGCGTAAAGAAAAGCCCTGCTATCACGCCAAGGGGCGTCCAGTCCAGTGGCTGGGAGTACCCAAACACAGACGGTGAGTGAGTGCCCTCTTCCACATGAGAAGCTGGTGCCAGCTTGGAACCATCCCCAGGCCTGTGTTATCACACCCCTTTGGCTACCTTCAAGGGCTGAGCCAGCTGATTTCTGGCAAGAAAAGTAGGTGGGGATTGAAGCAATTCCCCAGAAGGGGTAGGGTCCTGTTTGCTGGATGTGTTGGCAGGGCAGCTGGACATTCAGCTGCCTGGAATGTTTTAATTCAGACTCCTGGGCTAGGAAGGGGGTCAGACTCCATGGTCTCAAGGCCTCCTTCCAGGGTCCTCCCCCCACCCACCCCCACCCTCTTTTGGGCTTCAGCTACCTGGGAAGATCTTTGCAGGGGAAAAGCGGTTGGAAGGCTTAACAGCATCCCCTCACCCTTTGAGAAGTTTGTCTGCAACCAGACAAGGACACACAATATGGGGTGTGTGTGTGTGTGTGTGCAGGTGCAAGCAGCTTCCTTCATTTCTCATAAGTGAGGCCTGGGAATTCTTGGAAGGGGAGCAGAGATTTTGGCTCCTTTCTGGCTCCGTGTTCTCAGCGCTGCTGGTTTGGCAGCATTGCTGATATCGCAGCTCATCTTCAAAGGGCCGGTGAGCGGAAACGGGCGGCATGAAAGGCCCTTTTGTTGCTCTCCAAAGCCCATGACGGGAGCTGTAGGACGCTGTGAAATCCAAGGGGAAAGAATCGGGGGGGGGGGGCACGACTGCAATCACCATTGTTCAGGAGGGCTGTTGTGGCACCTTCTCTGTTTTGCCAGCCTCCACAGGGCCTAAAGCTTCTTGGATCCACATAAAAAACAGGTGGAGCTTTGTTAGTGCCCTCTCAGCCCCCATCTTGACTTTCTTGACCAGTGCGTGGCCACCCCTGCTTGGGGCCTTTGCAAACCTCAGCTTGGAGAGGTCCGCGGAGTGAGCCACGATCTCCCAGCAGAGCCAACGGAGCCTGTGCCTCCCCCCACTCGCAGCCTGGCGCAGTCTCAGCCCAGGAGGTGCCTCTGACAGCTGGCAGCGTCTTCAGGCCTCCTGGCCAGGACTGCGTTCTCCAGTGGAGAATGGGTGGGGCCTCCAGGTACATTCCAGGTGGCTGGAACAAAAGGCCTCTTGTTGGGGCCAATTGCTTGCGAATCGCCAAATACTTTTCAAGTCCCATCCTGCTCCCTCCGGAGACAGCATAAAACCCGCTCTGTGTCGG